GGTGGGTTTTCGGCAGTTCACCCTGACCCTCGGAGCTGGCTGGATCTGTGTCTTGTTTACGTTTTGTGATTACTATTTGTGAAGCTTTGTGCATCGCGCCCAGTGTTATTTTTTACTTTTTATAATAAACTCTTTTAATGTCAAGATCCTTTTTTTATCATTTATATTATATGTGCTAAGCACTCAAGGTGCAAACTTACTCGGAACCCAGCCAGCCCTACCACGAGTGTCAGAGTGGGCTCGCGAACCACCGCAGAGGGTGTTCGCTACAGAATTGGTCGGCAGCGGTGTGGATATTTGCACAAGATAAGTATACATGTTTTGGTCATTCCTTTGTGATTGTGCTAATATCCCGAATCCATAGAATCATTCCAGGTGATCTTGCTCTTTTCATGTTTTGTATTTTTAATTCGTTCATAATGCTTTTCTGCTAGTTTTCTCTCCATTGTTTTAATGTAACGTTTGTGATTTGCCTTTTTTATTACATTTACTTTTTAGCGATTTGTTTTATCTTCTTTTACCCTTGGTTATTTATTGGTTTATTGTGATACACTATTATTATTTTGTGGTCTTGAGTGTATTTGATTTTATTGTGTTCTTAATCGTGTTTTACTTTTGCTGTTACTTGTTTTTTATTTTGCAATTTCCAGGATTTTTCCTCATCCACTTTTACTTGATTTATTTATATTTTTACCTCCCTTTTATATGTATTAATGCTGTATTTTTATTCTCGTTTGTCATTATTTTTATTTGTTTTAATATAATCTGCCAGGATTGTTACTTATACTTTCTCCAGTCAGGATTTTTACCCAATTTGATTTTATTTGCCTGAATAGTTTTTTTTATTATCAGTAATCTGTGACGGAAAATTATATTGTTATTGTCCGCAGATTCTGATGCTTGTCCTGATCGAAATCTGTGCACGACCTCGAGTGTGGTTGTGTGTGCGTGTGTAATTTAGTAACGCATCCGTGAGTTGTCCAAGGTGTCGCTGCCAGCCTGCACAGCCCTTCTCTTGTGTGGTGACGTCGGCTATCACTCCCAGCCGGCATACAACCTACACAGCAGGACTCCTCGTCGTCCCACCTCTCAGCCTCTCAACCGCGCTACCCGACGGGCGATATTCAGGACTGTCAAAAGGATGGGCAAGCTCAAACCCTCCAAGCAAGGGTCAGGTGCCTCTATCCCCCCGGAGCGATCACCAACACAGGGTCCGAGTTCCAGGACTGATCTGCAAGAAGTATCTATGCCTGGGCCAGATGCAGACAGCCAACCAGAGCGCCAGGATGAAGTAGCAGCAGGTGCGCAGTCTTTATCTGGAGTGCTTGCCCAGCTTGAATGTACTTCTGCACAGCTGCAGCGTGCGTTATCCCGCATTGCAGAGTTGGAAGAGTTGGAAGCCGAAGTTGGCTCCAACCAACCCACCCAAGCATCACAACCAAGAGTACTTGGGCAAGGTGGTGCCTTGTCCATGGGTGTTTCCGAACCGTTGCGCCCTGCCCTGGTCAACACTGAAGTACATAGCACACCTCTGCAGCAGGCCTCTCAACCGCCTCCAGTTGCCAGAGCTCCTACATCCGGTTTGTTGTCAGCACCACCTCTTCTGCAGCCCCTAACTCACAACTACCCGGCTGCTGGGGTTTCTGCTCCTCCCTCCTTCCCTAGTGGCCGTGACGAAATACCAGTGTTCTATGGGGAGACTCCTGTGTCCCTTGGCCTGCAGTGCAATCAAGAGATCGAGTCATGGATTGCCAGTATCGGGCTCCTGACTCGCCCTGCCACTGATGACGCATTCATTTGCATGGCCAGGGGAAGGTCACGGGGATACGCCCAGATGGTACTCTTAGGACCGCTGTTTGAGAGAGTGACACAGTGGCACGAGTTCAAGGCCAGACTGCGGGCAAAGTTCAGAGGTGCCAGTACGTCCCAACATTTTTTCGAAATGCTGGCTCAGGCCCGCATGGTACCCGGCTAGGCGCCCTTGGACTTCTATCAGGTTGTTGAAATGGCCATAATGCAGGGAGCCCGTGACTATTCTCATGACATTGGGGATATGGAGGGCTTAGTGAGGAGGACTTTCACTGCTGGACTGCCAGGCTGGTTGCGACGACAGTTGGTACTTCTGGACTTCCCAACAACTAGAAGGATTGCTGAAAAGTGCCAAGCAGCCTGGGATACGACAGTGGGAGTGAAACACGTCCTGCCGTCCATCTTCAGCTATCCAGGGGCTGGGCACTCCCTGTACTCAGGGCCCTCTAGTGCAACACAAAGTGCACCCATGGCTTTGGGCCTGCATGCTCCCGGTCGCCTCACTGCCGATGTGCCAGCCTTGGAGTATTACAGTGATGGCCCTCTCCAAGTGGCTCAAGTCCTAGGGACACCTGCGTCCAACCTGACAAACTCAACTCGGTCTGTGCTCCAGCAGGTACGCCCCCAGAAACAACCCACGGCCCTGCCTCAGCCATTGTCCTCACCTCGCCGTCGCAGTAGCCCTCGCAGTAGCCCTCACAATCGTCATTGGTGCGAATACCATCGTCTGGGGAGCCACAACACTTCAGAGTGCCGTGCAAACCAACGACGGTGTTTTGGCTATGGAGAGCCAGGACACTTTGTCGCAATGTGTCCCTTTGGTCAGTGCCGTCCGGGGCAAGGGTCCCGGCCAACGGGCGGCCAAGGAACCACTGGACAAGCATGTTCAGCAGAAGTCGGGGGGCAGGCCAATGATCACTTTGACCATCAACGGTAAGCCTCTCGCTTGTTCTGTCGACACAGGCTCTGAAATGACCATGGTAAAAGATAAAGTTGCTGCACTACTCCCAGGAATCCGCATGCAAGACAGCTCAAGAACATTGCAGGGTGTTACAGGCTTGCCCAAAGCTGTGACTGCTGAAGCGGATCTCACTTTTACCATTCATCCAAGGTCAGACGTCATTCACCGAGCCTGTGTTGTCAATGGCTTCAATTTCCCCGGCGATCTCCTGCTTGGAATGGACCTGCTCCAGCGACTCTCCGTTTGTGCTTCAGTGCTGAGACCCCTGGTAACTATATGGAGCTCAGTTGCCACCGTTGTGATCGCTTTACAAGGCTGGAATCATCTGCCCCACTACACACTCCTGCAGGCCATGAAATACAGGAGAGTCGAACAGAAGCCTCTACTTTTCAACCATCTAGGTGCATCTCCCCTGTGCATGTAGCAGAAAGCGCTGTTGTGGAACCCCGATCTGGAAGATTTCTGTCTGCCACTGTATCTCACTTTGTCCCTACCAACACCCACCTCGCTCTCGTTGAAGGTAGCACCAGTCGCCTAACAGTACCATGTACCCTCGTCGCCGTTCACGATCGGCGATCCAGTGTATGGGTAGTGAACCCATATCCCAAGCCCAGGAAGGTGAGTCCTGGCACCGTCATTGGGTACGCGGAGTTCCTGGAACCAGACGACATAACACCTGTTGGAGGGGATGTAGCAGTCCTCAACACCACGCCTTCAAGTGTCAATACTGAAGTCCATACCTCATCCTATCCTGATCCTGGGTTAAGGCAAAACCCATATCTACCTTAGATGTTGACCCTCTAGGTGATAATGACAATCCATCTGAGGGCGAGTTCCTAGACGATGAATTTGACAGCTTTGATGCTTGCCATGATTTCGGGTACCAGGACAATGAATTCTTTGTGTTTCCAGACACACCAGCTTTGGATAAGGCACGCCAGCAGGATACATCTAGAGTGGCTTCTGCAGGAGATACTGTTGGTGACCAACCAGCCTAGACCCAGTTGCCGCTCGACCACCTCACTGCTGACCAGGTAACTCAGCTGACCACTATGCTGAACAACTTCCCAGGCCTTTTCTCTGGGGACAAGTTCACAGTTGGAGCTGTACCTGGGGTGCAGCACCGTATAGAGACGACAACCAGTGACCCTGTCTGTGTAAGGCAATGGAGACTTCCCCAAGTCACAAAAGAAGTTATCAGGGCAGAATGTGACCAATGCTGCCCCAGGGGGTGACTGAATATTCATCATCTTCTTGGTTATCCCCTGTAGTCCTTGTCCGCAAAAGGGATGGCTCACACCGTTTCTGTGTTGACTATAGGGCAGTCAATAAGGTGACCACCCCTGACACCTATTCGCTCCCTCGAGTCGATGACATCCTGGACTCATTATCTGGCCGGATGTGGTTCACAGTCCTGGATAGTAGATCGGCATATTGGGCGATCTCAGTCCACCCTGATGACTGCCTTCACTAATGGTAACAGATTGTTCTAGTTCTGCCACCTACCCTTTGGACTATCCACTGCACCCACAACATTCCAGCGGACCATGAACATCGTGCTTGCTTCAGTGTTAGGGCGTCACATTCTTGCCTACCTTGATGATGTGGTCATAGCGTCATCATCCTTTGATGGCCACCTACAAGACTTGCAAGAGACACTGGGGCTTTTAGGAGCAGGGATGAAGCTGAATCTTGAGAAATGTGGGTTCGCTAAGCATCAGGTGAAGCTACTCGGCTTTGTGATTGGTAAGGATAGTATATGTCCTAATCCAGAGAAAGTGGCAGCCATCGCAGCTATGAGGAGGCCAAGATCTGTTTGGGACATGCGACGATTCCTTGGGGCATGTGGCTTTTTCAGGCGTCACATCGAAGCCTTTGCCACCATCGCCCGACCCTTGACAAGACTAACGAAGAAAGGTGTAAAGTTTGAGTGGGGAGAAACAGCACAGACGGCATTTGACACCTTGAAGAAGGCCTTAGTGAGGGCCCCGATTATACGTCTCCCAGACTTCAGCCAGCCCTTTGAGGTCCATTCAAATGCTAGTCTCTAGGCCCTTGGAGCTGCCCTCCTCCAACGAGATGCTGAAGGGGTGCCCTATGCCATTGCCTACTGGTCACGGGTGCTAAAGGAGGCTGAGGCACGTTATCCAACGATAGACCTGGAGGCCCTTGCTGTCGTGGAAGCTGTCCATGCATTTAAACCGTACATCTATGGTTGGTATTTTACTATATGGACAGATCACCAGCCTCTAACTCATGTCTTCTCACGCCGAAGAGCAACAGGCCGAGTCGTTATGCACATGAGCTCGGGGAATACGACTTTGCTCTGCGGTACAAGCAGGGGTCCAGTAACCTCGACCCTGACCTTCTCTCAAGACCGGCAGGTGAACCGATCCCACATATAGAAATCTGTCCAGTTGAGCATCCTGATCCTGAGCTAGAACCTGAGCCTCCAGACCAGCTTGAACATCATGATCCCGAGCCAGAACCTGAGCCTCTAGACCAGCTTGAACATCATGATCCTGAGCCAGAACCTGAGCCTCCAGACCAACCTGAACATCATGATCCTGAGCCAGAACCGGAGCCTCCCGACCAGCCTGAGGATGACCCAGATCTCACCACCATGGACCCTAGAAAGATGAGGGAGCAACAACTACAAGATCCAACTTGCAACGACCTCATCAGTTGGTTGGAGGGAGTATTCAGATAGAGTAGTGAAGCAGCTGTATGTTTCTCAGCATCTCCAGACACAGGCTTTGCATCTTGCCCATTGTCCACCCTCTGCCACACATCCAGGAGCCTTGCGGACATACCAGAATCTGTGCAATTCCTGGTATTTCCCTAACATGCTTCGCCAGTCGAGGGAGTATGTAGCTAGGTGTCCAGTGTGTCAACACCAGAAGGGTTCTGCTGTTCGTGTTCCCATGCAAGGCCATCCACCACCAGAGGCCCCTCTAGTGATGGTTTCAGCAGACCTCATGGATCTGAGAAGTTCTTCCAGAGGCTACCGTTATGTTTTATCCATTATCGATCACCACACCCGCTTCTTGCAGCTGGCCCGTCTTCGTGACAAGACAGCTGAAAGAGTTTTGTCAGCCTTCATGGATAACTACATAACTTTATTTGGCCCTCCAGACCAGTAGTATACTGATAATGACCTTGAATTTTCATCAAATGAATGGCACTCTCTTTTGGAAACTCTACATGTGAAACACTCGTTCTCTGTGGCCTACCACCCCCAGTCCAATGGAGTGGTAGAGCGTAGCAACAGAGCTGTGAAAGATGCACTGGCAGCACTGGTTCAGCGTGCACCATCTCAGTGGCCCATACATCTGCCTGCTGTCTGCCTTGCCCTGTACATGGCTATTCACCGCTCGGTTGGAGACCAACCTCTCTACCTACTGTCAGGCAGAATGGCTCTGTTTGCCAAGGGGCTTACAAACGACCAGACTCCAGACGAGGGACTCATGGTGAAGCGCTTGTCAGATGCATGTCATCTGGCTGTTGAAGTAAGCCTGAAGACACGAGAGACCAACAAGGCTTATTACGACCAAAGAGCAAAGGCCACTCCAACTTTTGAACAAGGTTCTCTTGTGGTTCGGAAAGTCTAA